CCCTAGGTTTCAAAATGTTTAGAATCCTCTTACCTTCTCTAAGAGAGGATGAAATCCAGGCCAGGAGCAGGGGGATGAGTGCACTGGGGCCACTGCTAACAAATCTTCCAGACAGAAGCATTCGGAGGACTGGGATCCTTCCTTCCAGAAAGACCTCTGGATGGGGCTCTTGGGCCCCCCTCCCTCCCCTGAATCTCCCTAGTGGCCACCACAGCACTCAGGGGCTTTGCGAGAGAGCTGAGTGCCGGAGCAGCACTTCCAGCTCCAGGGAAAGGATGTCCCGGAGACCCTACCCCACGTCCCCGTGTGTCCAGCACCGGATGTACATGCGTTCTTCAACCCTGTGAGTTCGCTGTGTTACCCTGTCTTCCAGGGTTCTAAGGCTTAGGTACTTGCCCTAAGAGCACACAGCCACTAGGGGGCATCAGGTCCACCCAGAGCCTCATGCTTTCTCCCGTTCCAGGCTCCTTGTACACATCTTAAGCCCCGTTAACAGACTCAGGTTTCCACCTGTTTCTCCCCCTACCCTGCACACTGCTGCCCTGCTCCCAGCAGCCTCAGCAAATGCACAGTGAGGAGCCCCTGGGGCGCACGAGCCTTTTCTCTCCCCGCCACCCCGATGCTTGCTTTGTCAGCTGTGGCCACGGTGTGATTTCAGCTGGTTGCGTGGTTGGTGGAAGGCAGAACTGGAGTCTCGTGCTCTTCGAAGCAGGGTCCCATCTCTCCATCGGGTTCATTTCCTGATGTCTTGATATATCCTGCAAACTGTCGGAAGGCAGCTCCTCCTTCCTGGAGCCGCTCCCTCTGCCCTCAGGAATCCGATTTACGATCTGGCCAGGCCATAAACCTCTGCTCTTCCTTCATTTCTGAAAAACAGCAAAGTATGGGAAAGAATGTAAATTATAAATACTGAATTCCTACGGTCAGCAATAATGTAATGGCCTGGGTTGTGTTTTGTGCTTTTTTTCTTTAATATGGTATCCATATGGCTTTAATTTCAAAGGGCCTGGGTCCCCCCACCTACCTCCACCACCA